CATGAGTGGTTGAGATGTATCATGAGTTGATGAGATGTATCATGAGTGGATGAGATGTATCATGAGTTGATGAGATGTATCATGAGTCGATGATATGTATCATGAGTTGATGGGATGTATCATGGGTTGATGAGATGTATTCATGAGATGATCATGACTCGATGAACGAAGTCTTGGATAGTGAGGAATTTCTTGGTCATGAGTTGACCAAGCACATGAGAATCCAAGGAGTTGATGGTCCAAAGACATCTCGTGAATTGGTTGATGAGAAATTTGACGAGCTTTCTGATATATATTCTCTTGAAGTAGATGAGGCATTTGAAGGAGAAAACAACGAACCGAGGCATGTGATCCGCTGCGAAACAGTTATTTATGCAATTCATTATGTTCAGTACATAGAAGCATGATGGTTCCAATACATCCTTGAAGAGGAAGGAGCCGCTAAATCTTATGCCCATGTGCGGGCACTGTCTGAAGATTGATGCATACAGGATGTTATCCTTCCAAAAATTTGCTGTGGGTTACGTAGCGCAAAACGTCTCCACCACACACACACACCTACTTTTGTATTGGCCATGGTAAATCGGAGCATCACAGTTGCAAAACCATTACATTGACAGAAACGAACAGGGAGAAACACAACCTATACCGCCTATACCTCGAACTTGTGAGAAAAGGAAACACACATCAATGCTCTGTACCCTACCGCGGTGGAGCTGCTCTGTGCCCTCATCTCTGTGGCCCCCGCATCTCCCACGAAGACTGCCTCGGCTGGCCAACGGACGGCGTTCGCCCGATGGGTTCGGATGTGCGTCGTGCCCAAAACAAGAAAGGTGGTCTGGGGTTGGGATTTAGCATAACTCATTGGATTTATCACTGATGTATCACTGATGCATATATTCACACTGGTGTTAATCATTGGATTAATCACTGATTTATATGCGTTAATTCATGTGAATTCATAACACCAGTGTTCACGCGTTCAAGCTGTTTGACAGTCACTGGAAGACGATCTGGAAGTGTGTCTTTCCATTGCCCCTCGTCTCGAGTTTCCTAAACCCCCAAACATGCGGAGCCGACGAGCCGACAGGCGTTCCACTCCTTTGTCCCAGAAGTCTCCTTGCCTATTCATATTCAGCTAAACCCATGCCCCTAACGCAACCAGTTAGACATGGTTAGCCACAAGAGCATGAGTTCCTTCCTTGTCAGAATAGATACAACAGTTTGGAAAACAGAGTGAGGCAACTACGCAAAACCTCTGCTTGGAGTCCAACAAATAGGTGGACCCTTCCCCAATAAAACCTGTGAAATAGTTCTTGTCAAGTCCTCAAATGACTGTTTTGCTGAAAACAAGTGTATATATACAAATGTATACAGTGCGTACAGTGTATACTACCATCAGCCACGAGCGACCCCGAAGCTATAGTCCTTGGCTGGTATGCCCCGTGTAGATGGCAACTGACATCACTTCCTCTCCCTGCAACTAATATGGACCTGGAATTCACCCCCGCGTTTGGTGTTCAAAATTTAAAGGTCTTCCAGAAATCAGGGGCCATGCATGGCCATGCCATCCACGTTCCAGGAAAATGTGAAATCCACTGACCTTGGTTCGGGATATTTTGAGGCTCCAAGTAATGAGATGATGACTCTAGATGCATGTAAACTATATACACATGCAATTTCAGAGATGTGTCATTTCCTGTTATCTTCACTGCTCTTGCCAACCACCAACTCCTGCCACCGTCGCTTCCACACGAGCCTCGGTTGCAGACTTTTGGACTTTTTGGACCGAGCTGCCGTGGCACCGATGGAACCGTTTTCTGCGTTTCTTCGAAACGGATCAACGGAGCGGTGGAATCCAGCGATTGGTTGACACAAAACAACGATGGTTTCTATGTCAATGCGTGACTGAAGGTTAATCACTATTAGATTGTTGTTGTGTTGAGAACGTTGACTGACTGATTGTTACATTGAATTTAGTGACTGAATGATCAGTGCCCATTGTTGCGTGTCTATGTCAGTGTTAGATTGTTGAGTTTCAATGTAGAGTGCTGATCTTGAGTTCTGTTCAAGACGTTGAGCTTTTGACATGATCTCACCGCTGATCCTTTCATCGTGGCCAACATCGTCAGAGCTGGTTCGGTCGACGCGCTCGCCAGGAATCTGCACTGCTCGAAATTCTCAGCAACCAAAACCGTTGGAACTCATCGATTGCACGCAGCTTTGGACCCATTAGGAACAATGTTCTTCTCTAATTCCCTTCTTCCTGTCCTATACTCTTCTTCCGGTATATATTCTTCAATTTCCGATTCCAAGTCAACAAGAAAAGACTATATATATAAGTGGAAATCATTATCCATATTTATCCATAAGGTCTTCAACTGTCATGATGACATGTTTCAGAACCCACGAAGACTTGAAGGCAGACTCAATCAATAGATAGAATATTGTAACATACACATTACCCAAACGCTCATGGACCCTCATCGTATTGAGGGGTCTGACCCGCATATGGGGCCTGGGGTCTCGAATTCCTGTTTTGAGGGACCAAGGGCTGTGAACGGAGCGTTTGGGTAATAGATAAAATACACCCGTGCATCTTGACACCAATGGCGTCAAGTCCGATCGAATCTGGCTTCCGTGGTCTTCTTGGATATAGTCTTAATCCAATCTTGAGTGAGGTTCTCCTTCGAATATCCAAATAGCCATCATCAACATGTAACAAAGTGCTTACTTGATCAAAGTACTTTCTAGTACGTTCATTCCTGGCAAACGCCGCTCCTCCCACGCCGCTGAGATCGGCTCGATCCCGCGAGATCCAAAAACCTCGTGGTCTCGAACCGTGGCGAAAACGCCGTGGAGCGAACCGAGGAGCCAAGCCTGGGCAAGTTGGAACTCAACATGACCTGACTCAACACGACCTGATTACTTATCATATTGTGTTCCCCCCTTAGCACTTAGCCTTGCACGTTCACAAGTAGCATCAAATAGCACTTATTTGTCTCTGTCCCTTCTGTCCCCAGTGTCTCTTTTAGATCTTGCAGGTGCTGCGTTTCGATTTGCCCAGAGAACAATAGTGCTTCGCAAACCATCGCCTGAGACGAGAGTTGCAAGGCTCACGATGGACAAAGTCTTCGCATGCCATCTTTCTGCGCGAGCTAAGCCCGGTCGACGGACAGTAGAGACCTGATTCTAGAAATCGACGGAAAGGCCCAAATGGTCTCGGTTTGCTCAGCTCGCATGGCCAAACAGGCTGTTTCACACCCATTTGGAGCTCTGGTAAAGTGAAGCAGCACTTTGAGTTGGCTTCAGTGTTAAATCAAGCCTGCTGAGAACCTCTTGTTCTCTCGGTCAGTTCCTCACACAGCTTGGTACAAAGAATGTGCAAAGAACACACGACTAGGATGTTTTAACATTGATCAGTCTAGTCTCCCAAGCCCATGTTTCATGATGTTTCATGAAAGCTCAACAGGATCCATCGCCCCATCTAGACAGTTGCGAATCTACACCAAGCCGTTGCTGGTTGGTTGGTGCCCAACAGAGGTTAAGTGACCTTATATGACCCTACTGGAATACCTATGGGGGATAGTCTATAGGGTTCTTCAACCTCTGTTGATCGTTACTCGACCCGACGTGAGCACGGAGAACGAAACGTTGATCTGCGATGTCCCTTCATGAGGAACACTCCACGATGTCCCTGACAGTCTGCTCGGGGCGATCAGATTTCAGCAACTCCAAGGAAAGCTGGTGATCCAAAACTGTTTCACCAAACCTGGTGATCTTTTGTTCTTATTAAATGTGTTCCTCTTGGACCTTGTGATCTTTACCAATTCCGTTTGTCTATGATGAGACCCTCAGTTACAAAGCCAAGGGAGTCCAACCAAGGTTCTGCGTTGCCAATCACGGATTGTTGCCGCGGCCCTCTCCTGGGCAGTGCCGACAAGGGGGATGTGGCGAGGTGTTGGTGTGGGAGAACTTCTTATGATTATGGCTTTGGAGGAGTTTGTGGGGAGTCGACAGTTGCGGGTACGCATGTCATTGGTTCGAGCCACATAAGCTTCAAGCTATCATATATAAATTAAACGCTGTCCCCCCACAATGGCATCAAAAGCATTCAAAACGGTTCCTTCCAGGAATCATTACCAAACAAAATCACGTGTTTTTTTGGTACTTCCACTGAATTCCAAGCCTTGAACACCGTCCCGCATCGCCCGCCCCGTCCTGCCGCGGGTCCCGCCGACCCGGGCGACCCGCCGGCGGAGCCGCGCGCGGGCGACGAGGGCACCGCCGTGGGCGAGGTGGGCGCCGCGGAGCCGCGCGTGGGCGAGACGTAGCGGACGCTGCGGTGGCAATGGACGGGAGAGTGCACCGTATACCTCAGAGGACGGACGAGATGAGGGAGAGATAGTGAGGATGGTGATGGTGAGATGATAATTGGTGGATAAAATGGGAGAGAAGACTGGAGAGATGATAATGGATGATATGAACTATGATATTATGTGATGATATACATGGCGAGATGAGACTGGAGAGATAGTATACACACCCCTACCCAAACATGACACCAGTGTCTTGATAGGAAAATACTATATTTGGGTGGTCGGTGATCCAACATAGAGGTTATATTCAGGTTCCTGGTATGTATACATGGTGAGATGATATGGCGGAGAACATGAGTGAGATGGTGAAAGAAGGAGCTTTGAAATGATCATTGTATCATACCGGACATGTAGGAGCGCGTAGGAGGAGTCCACTTCCTTTCGTTGGGTTGTGATTGGTGCTTCAAACATCAATTTGATCAGTCTACCAGTATAAGTACAAGTACTGTTGATGGACCAGTCATCCTGCCCCGAAAGTTAAGGCCATCCAATCTCTTCTGCACAATGAACGTGTTTAAAACATTGGTGGCTCCCATTTCCCTTAAAAAACAACGGTGCCATGAAGGATTTGGACTGATGCGCCGAGGTCACCACAGTGCACTCTGAAGCTCTTAGCTTCTTTGGCGCCTGATACTTCGATTGTATCTTTGAAGACCTGCTTGACATGTTTGTCCACTTCGAAGAAACTGCATGTCTTCAAAGAAGGATCTTGAACTTGTTGTTTGACATTTGTTGACCTTCCGAACACTTGAGGATCTTTGGGAAACTAACATGGGTTCGCACACATATATATAGTCCTCATGCAGCAACTAGAACATGTAGAGAAATGTATAGATAAATTGTTCTAACATGTTCTAACAGGAAACTGTTGCCCACAGGAATCGCGGCTTCCCTACCGGACCTTTGTTGTCTATATACATGTCATACAGCTATACACTTGGTAGGCACATCGGTTTCCCAGAATTTCTCGCTGACCTGTGTTGGACACATAATGTGCAAGAAGACCTACCAGAACCTGTCCCGCACACCAAAACACGCGAACGGACCAACAAACAGGGTACATTCTGAGAGACTGAAGCTACATGGGGCGCTACGACTGCAGCTTGTGACCTGGGGCTCATATTGATGTCTGTCCTCAACCCCTGTGAGACACTAAGCCGCACTAAGCTACACCATGATGAAAGAGGAAAAACATCTCAAACCGGCAACCGAGTCTTCGGTTTAGCTAGTGGCCTGGCCGGACTGCAGTTACGAACTCTGCAGGCCAGCTACACGGAGTGTGGCCACCCACCGTAATAGTCGTAGAAGGGTCCACCGCTTAGGTGGACCGTGACCGCGCTCCCTCCATGGCAGCAATAGTCGTGGTGACACGGCTGACACGGCGGCGGCGGGGTCACCACCTGCAGCGTCGTCCGCGGTGGCGGTTCGCGGGTCGCGGGTCGCGGTGGCCGACCTGGACCTGGACACGGACGACCCAAGAAACGACCCGTTCGATGGAGGGGAAAGAGTGTCTGGAAGGACGGTTTGGATCGGCCAACCGAGGGCCAGGGCCGACCGGACCGATGCTGAACCGGGGCACCAAGCGCGAAGCAAGGTAAGCCACAAGGTGTTCCAATGATCACTTGGATCCCCTGGAGAGATCTGGCTAACTTGCTAACTTACGTTGATAGTTTATATACAGAGTCATAGAAGCCAAGAAAGGTCGTGATAATATACATGATCATGCAAACATATACAAACACTTTGCCGACTTCCATTCGTGATGCGGGGGTGACTAAATGCTCCACCACTGCTCAGAAAAAAAGAAAACACAACCAGCTCTTCGAAGCCCTTTCCCCTCCCATGGCCTCTGGTGGGGGGCGATCCATGTCCGCCTAGAAACCACCGAAGGTAGCCGGTGTCCGCTTCGGTCTTCAACGTGTTTTCGTCGAGACAAACACATCATGCTCCCCGAAGAAAAGGACTCCGAAAACTACTGGCTAAACGATCACCTCTATCATCACCTTACCAAACAGTCAATGAGAAAAGCATGGGAAAAAGATCTGAGATAGTTGGCACATCCAACTGAACATAACTGAACTACCATCTGGAAAAACAAGTCCAGAAATGGTCCTGGACAGTCCTGAGTGAAAAGACTCAAAAACTGATCGGGTCAGGCAAATCCGCTATGGAAGGTTGGTGCAATCTTCCAAGTTGATTGATGCGTGTAAGTGGTGGAACCAGGGATGGTTCTATCATGTTCTATCAATATATTGGTAAGCGGACTCCCTGTATGGATCTGGATTATATACGAGGCTGTCAGGCTTAGGTCCCTGGCAAAAATATCTCTCTCTCTCTCTCTCGCTCTTTCCTTCTCTCCTTCCCTCTCTTGGTCGTCTAGATTGTGAGGAAAGGCACCTGAAGCCGACTAGCTGTAGTTCACCGTCCGGATCAAAAGATCAACTGGACCCGCTGTTTGCTACGTTTTGATGCAGGACTTCTCTGGGTGTCTTCGTTGTTTGAAATCACCAGAGTGACTATGTTGAAGTTTTGTGGTGCTCCAACCTAAGAACCATGATTGATGAACATTGATGAACTTATCATAGAGATTCATCGCACAGCATGTTTAGTATGTTTAATGGATATTGATGGGCTTCATCCGCGGTCCGCGACGGGTTCGGTTTTGAGACGGCTGGGCCTGAAGATCACAGGTTTGACGATCAAGACATGCCAGCTCCTCCATGCCGTGGCAAAAACGAATCTGACGGGTCAATGGTTGGATCGAGAATCCGAGAAGGAGCAAAACTTGGTTCCTGGTCATGGAGGAATAAGGCGCTTGAAGCGTTTTACAGTACACAATATAAATGATCAAGAATCCAACTTGTCAGCACTTGTTAGCACCAGAATTGTTTACAGATTGAGCTTTTGCTGCTCCAAAGTCATCCTTTGGAATATACGGCAACATCCAGACTAGTCTGTTTCCAGAAAAACGTGGTTTCTCTTACAAGACCTAGTAGTAGCCCTTTACCTGATGGACCCTAAAAATACAAAACACCTCAAACACAAGTTAGCTCGTTAGCTCGTTTTTGCATGCTTTTGCTATTCCACCTTTCGTTTGGATGCCCACTACAACAAAAATTGCATGGGATTCCACCCGAAACGGGCAAACCCACGCGACGACGTGGAAAAAACGACTCTCGCTCCAAACCAGCCGGAGAAAACAAACCGCTCCAAACTCCTTTTGAATCCGCTCGAGTGATTCGCGCAAGCAGTTCTCTTCGCCCAGCAAGGAGATACGGGTATCCACCAAGCGATAGATCGCGTCCTGAGGGAATTTCAGCTCAGCGAAGGCGACGTACGCCACGTTCAGCAAAGGCTTTACATCCACGTAAGGCTAGGGGGGTTTTATGGAACCCTAGGGATCCAAGTACCTTCTCGGAAGGTACGACTGGACCCTCAAAACCTACATAAGAGTGTCCCTGAGAAGGTACGACTGGATCCCTAGGGGAACAACACCGTGAAGAAGGAGGTGAATGAGGTCGGTGAAAGGGTGCAGTATCGCAGATTGGAGGTCAGGTGAGGTCAGCTTGGTCTGCGCATGAGCACCTCACATATAGGGATGGGGTACCACAGGTGACGGGTCCTTCTTCAGGGACCATGACCACATGGTGACACATGGCCCTGGTGACACATGGCCATGGTGACGACGATCCACCAGGATCCGGTCAGGACGCTCGTGACTTTGATGTTTGCTTGCAGTTTGCATCCTGGAGCAGTTATAGCTCTAACATGCTCTCTATAACTCACTCAGTCAACTACTCAGTCAACCACACTCTTGCCCAAGGCTGCCGAGACGTCGTGCTCGACGTAACAGCTGAACTCCCAGCATCAGGGACGCTCCAGCTGCAGAATGGCTGGATCTACGGCTTTTGTTTCTCAAAGGTCTCACGATCGAACTTCATGGACTCGTTGGCGCACACGGGTGGGGGTGATGGTTTTCCCGGACGCTATAAAAACACCACCGAGCGGTGCCGACTCGGATCATGTCAGACCCGCTGGCCTCACACCAATCGACCAGAAATGAAAGGAAACGTTTCGACCACGCCAATGGGCAAATGGAGGACTCTTCACCAATTCCACGGATCCACCCACCGTACCGTATTGGTTCGGTACGACTCGACCTGACAATGGCACCTACATGCACGTACATTACAGTGTCTCCAATTACCTTATCAAAGGGTATATAGTATTATGTGGATGTATATATGGGATAGTCACTGGGATAGTCTGAAGGGTTCTTCATGGTTCTTTGACCTCTGTTGGAACCGGACAAGCCATAGCCGTTCGCCAGCCAGGGGTCACAAATATTCCTGTCTTGCACGATCAGCGGGAATGCCTCACAAGTCCGCGACCGCGTACGGCGAGGGGTCGTCAAAGGCTCGGATTCCGTTCGGCTGAAAATGATGGTGGAAGTGACTTCCAGGGAATCACTCCGCAACGACCAATTCGCCCAAACCTTTTTGTTCCTTCAATTTGAGGGAGCTTAGAGCTTGGATCAGAAAACACCAACAAGACCTGGTTGATTTTCTATACTGCCATAATCTACCATAAATATAACCATTTCTGCTTGGTGGTTTCAACTCACTCGAAAGCATACTGAACATATCTGAACATATTGGTCACTGGCTTCCATCCTCCGGACGGTCGGTTGCACATCGAACGATCCGAAACTCACCAACCGGCTCGGCCTCGGAGTTGTCCAAGGGTGGCCGTTGCAGGCGCAAGTCCTTCTGCTCGTTCAGGCGCCTCTGCAGATCCTCCTGACGACCCAGCGACGGGTCGTCAAGTCGCACAGGGCGGTCGTGCGCGAGACACATTCATTCAGCCCATATAGGGCCTATAGGGCTGGCTCCAGGAGGTTCGGATTCCTTTGTCGAACGGAGGTGAAAGCACGTACTTCCAAAGAATGGTCGTAAGAAACCAGGTCGAATGGTTTCTGGGGACTTTCAGCAGATCATCAGGATGGTCCTGGACCCTTAGGGGCATCATGCAGCACAAACGTTGATAGATAAACGATGATAAACGAACATGTATGTCAGAAAGCAAGGCCTAATCTGGGGGAACCCTCCAAATTCCTCAGAAACCCCCACAAACCACGCGAAGGCCAACCTTACAAATCCAAACTTGTTTCCCACCGTTCCCGGGTGCGTCCTCCATCTTCGCGAAGTCCTCCTGGTTCCGCCCCTGCTCCCGCACCAAATCTTCTTGATCCCGCTGTAAGCGCCGCACACAGGTGTCATAATAGGCGATCCTGGGAATGCCAACATCGAATTAAAAGGAATTGGGGCTGGGTTGGGTGGAGCAGCGAAAACAAACAGGTGAAGAGGTGACTTTGGTGGATTGCAACCTGTGTCAACTATTCTTATAAATGTATTGGATGTTGTTTATATCTTATGATATCTTCACCTTTCCTGCCCCAAGCAACTCAAGTGTCCCTTGATTCGAACATCCCGATTTCAACCATGCAAGGAATACAAACAAAACCCAGGGTTCCAATCTGGAGTTCATTCATCCCACCATCTCAACCTTCCACAAATCTCACTCTGGAGCATCGATCACGGCGATTCATTCTCAGTCAACACAGGCAGCTTGAGGTGCGCATTTCATTGCAAAACATCCACCCAAACATCCGATGTCGCTGAGTCTTGAGTTCACACGGGGTTGACAAACATGGTCGTATTCCAGTGCTCTTGTGGTCTTTGTATGTCACAGCCCATCCTTGCCCCCAAAATCAGAGCCATGCCGTGCCCTTGAACCTGAAACATCTGCCGTGCCATCCGATCTGCCCCATCTGCCCAGCAAATCCGTCCTTTCTCGGAAGACGCTGTAGCGCTCGTGCCTCCCCAAAGCCTCCTGACGCGAGCTCCGGCTGACGCTGACGCTGGAGAAGCGTCCCAAGTGGGAACGACGCCTGCCTTCCCGGGACTGAAGAAACAGATCTGTTTCTATGAGTAACAGGGACCCGGGATTCTCCAATCACCAAGTTGCATGAACAAGTTCCTATTAGTTGACTTGGTCATATTTTTTCCCCTTAACTTATACTGTACTTCTCGTAGCAACCGGAGTCTTTCATGTTCTTTCATGGCCCGAATTGATACTGCAGCCCTTTGAGTCGACATCTTCAGGCAGTCAAATGATGTCAGCCCTGCCCAGTCAAATGAAGGGAACGCTGCGCCACACGAACTTGGCAAAAGGTGCCAAACAAATTGTCTTCAGATGTCTTCATCTCATAAAGCACCATTCCATCATGATGCATGCGCATTTTTAAGACACTATCTTGAACCATCAAAAACGTCAAGATCATAAAACATGACCTACCCATCACCCCACCTCCTTGTTTCTGAAACCTTGCCCAAAATCCTCCGGTAACCTGGTAACCCTACACTTAGCTTGTTTTCTTTTTTCCCGTGTGTTTTTTTTAATGTGTTTTCTCCTTGATCCAATATCCATTTGCGACCGAGTTGCCAAGCGCTGGACGATCGGTGCGAAGTCCGCCGGGGGCATCGCACGGGCGAAGGTGGAATGCAGCGAGCGGCGAGGTCTGTGCGAGAGCGGACAGCTCCGGGGCGGACGACTGAGCCAAGCTGAGACGGCGAGCCAGCGATGTTTTCTTCGATCCTGTGTTTGAAGCTCGCAGAGTGTGGAACACCAGTGAATGCATAATATGTGATAAGTGATAAAGCTCCTCTTCTGTTTGTATGAGTTGCTGATAGGCTCGGAGTCCATCATCTTAAATTATCATATCCAAAGAGTGGGTGCCTGCTTCGGCAACACTTCCATTTTCCAGTCTGCCAGCTTGCTGCAAGGAATCCGAAGGAGGTGAAACAAAACAAGGAGCCCTCTCGCATGGGTGATCTTGAAACAGCGAAACCGATGTTTAATGGAATTGTGGGAGTGGAACACCTAAAGTAGCTATAAAGACCTGTGAGTCAACCTCCACAACTCCCAAAAACTCGGAACGAAACCAAACGATCGAAACCAATTCGGAACGAAATCTGAAATCAAACGATCGAGATGAGCTCCTGGCCGCTATAGGCCCGGCAGCTTCAAGAAGGTTCTTCAGCAGGGCTTGGCTGCAGGCCGTCTTGAAACCACCTGTTAACCATCCTCACACAAACAAACACCACTACAAACACCAATTTGAGGTTTCTTCCTGTTTCTCCAGGGTGACTCTACTCAAAGCCACCTCTGGCTAATAAGCCAGCTCTGCTGAAGGGACACGTTCCTGGACATTCCAACAATAGAGACTCGTTGCGACGAACAGCGACGTGCACGTGGATCACAGGGCAACATAGGGGCAACCACATGCAATTAATAGAAGCCTTCTCCGAACAATGTTCCTGCCAATGGGATTTGCCTTCAGCATGAAAAGAACACAAAAAACATACCAAAGTCCCCATATTGGCCCGCTGCACTTGCAAGCGTCACTTTGCACTCAAATCTACCAAATTGAGAAGACATGTGATATTTGGAAGATTTTGGAAGTCATTGCTTGCTGGAGATTTGCTCTGACCACACTGGAAACTAGCCCAGTGTTCCCACACACCATAGGCTAAAGTGACCCTTTCTCTCCAGTCCGTACCTCTCATGCAGTATGGCAGTCAGTTGACATCGTCTTCACTTTAAAGTATCACAAATCCATTTGCGTGACACGTTACCGTTTTGAGGCAGCAAATGATGTGCAGTGTATTTCTATCGAGCTGCCACCATATCCGAAGCCATAGAACTTCGTCATTGTGTTCAAGGGTATCCAGCGCCACTGTGTGGCTCTAAAAGCCTAAGCCTAGCGTATGCATGCATCATACATCTGGTAGATGTCAGCGGTGCAAGCAGTCTGCGATCGCCGAGGCAACCTCAATATCCGATTTATCCTGACCAGATTGATCCTGGCAATCTAAGTAGAGCCGAGCTGGGTTGAAGATCCAGTCTACATAGCTCTGAGCATCACCATGCACATCCGGATGAGTGGGCCAATTTGGCCCTCTGATTGGAGGTCTCGGAGGGTAGTCCCCGATCCTCAAGGGAATGATGGTGATGAAGGATTCATAGACCTTCGCGAATTTCAACTCCTCGAAGCTCGAGAAGTCCGAGGACGTCATCTCGCCGTAATGTTCGGTGCAAACACACAGCAGGATGCCCCGTTCCCGCTTGATGCGGCCGAGATAGCGCGTGGTGGGAACACCAAAGGTTTCACCTGGGTGAACGCCCACCATCAGAATATCGTAGCCACTTTGGGCTAAGATCTCGTGGATACGGCGAAACCGCTGTTCAGTGGCGCCGCCATCAAAACGAGCCGAGAACATCGCGACCCGCGCTCCCGGCTCTGGTCTCACTTGCACCTCGAAGTCAATTCATCTGCCAACGGCACAAGGGCGGAGAGCCCCGTCAACGCTAGGTGCATGACCGGTGGTGAAAGAGAAGGTGCGGGCGATGAGGGCGACGAGGGCGCGCTTCCAGCCTACAACCCAAACGGCTCTGCGAAGGCGACGAAGAGAGACACGCTTTGACCAGTCGACCAAAAATCACCCTCTTCAAGGGTCAAGGAATCTTCAATGTTGAATCCATGCTAAAAGATTTGATCACTCCAATTGAGACACAATCCTCAAAAAGTACTCGTTTCATCTCAATGCTTCCCAAAGTTTCCAACCGCCATACATGCGTACTTCCCACCTGACTGTTCGGAGCCCTGTTCCTCCACCTTCCGGCCGTGGAGATGGTGCCTCAAGGAGCCAAGCAGAAAATCGATTTACGGATAACTGCACGGAAGCTGAATTGGAACATGTTTGTTTATAACTTCAGCTGTCTCATATTCTTGGAATGAACACATCCCACACACGTGATAACGCGCCAAAGTGCAAGAGGTGGGCACTATAAGCATTCAAGGAACATGGATCTAGCAGGTGAGCAGCCAACAAAGTCAAAGTGGAGAGTTCCAATCTACCTTCGTTCAACGCACCAAGCAAAGCACGTCCAGGTTCATCGCACATCAACTTGGTCCCAAGCCAGGTCCACTGGTTGAGCTGCTGACCTGCAGGGCATGAAGAAAATACCTCTGGGGGTGTTGCCTGTGGCCCGGCCTCCACATATTTAGATGGTGGCGTAACTATATAATATATTACATGGAAAGTATAGGATATCACGGCTGTTGGGGCCAAACTCAAAGTGTTTGAGGATCAGTATTGAGGATCAGTTATCAACAGGTTTGGCAAATACAAGCAAACCGCATGCCGCATAGCAAGCCCTCCCTTCCGGATGCAGTTTCAACTCGAGTCTTGGCAAAAAAGGCAAGTAATTATGATTAGATGAAAAGATCCACTCATTCACTACAATATACGGCCCCTCTCATCCGCCGCCTGCGGAGCCTGCGTGGAAGGCGATCTGGAGCGATCTTGCATCATGAGCTGAGCCGCTGGAGGAACGGCTGAATCCCTGGCCCTCCGGGTGTACGCTGGACGCGGAGCTGAGGGTGGGACGACTGGAAGTGCTGCAGATGTGGAAGCGTCTGGTTGAGACGGAGAGGACCCAGAAGGGTTGCTGGTGGGATATGCAGCGTGGCTGGAGGGAGCTGGAGAGGTTGCTTGGGCACTGGACAAGGCGCCTAGGTGATCGAAGGTGATGTCTCGGTTGTCGATCTTTACAGTGAAGCTACTGGCTTCCGCAGACCATTCGTTTGAAAGAATGGGGAAGGCACTCGAGTTCAAGCTGATGGTCCGGGTGACACCATCTTGAGAAACCTCCACCTCCTCACTGTCAGGGCGAGTGCCCAAATGGGCAACATTGTCACATCTGGAATATCCCAAGAGGTAGTCGTGGTCATTCATGTACTGTGTCTCCAGAGCTTCCATACAAAAGGTGCATCCGATGTGCACGAACGAGACTTTGCCTTTAGAAACAGGTCCATGATTGAGGAAGCCCATGGCTTTGATGCAGGATGGGACACCGGTCGTTACCACGTGACAGAAGTGTGTCAGTTGCACCTTGGCATAGCCTTCACCGAAAGAAGCAGCATTAGTGACGTCCTTCCAACCGGTGTGCGTGGAGACCCACACCTTGCTTGCTCCAACACAAGCTGGCAGGATGACCCAGATGGGGTCTACGAAAGTGGTATCTTCCGGTGAGAGCTGGAAGATGGGATGAAAGAAGGACTCCTTGGGCTCCAGCTGCCTCTCAAGTGACTCGACATCGATGGATGTCAGGTCTGTGACAAAGTCTGCGGTGGGATGCAACCCTTGTTTGGCCACGGAGGATGGGATCAGAAAGGACGCGCCGCATGGAAAGTGAAGGATCTCTGGAGGCACCTGGCAATCAAGGATCGTACGCAACAAATCACCAACACATGTGTCATCATTTTACATCATGCTTCTGTAAGATATTGACAGTGATCAATCCATCTGACACTCCCGTCATTAACTTGAAATCGGCTTATAAGATTGCTAGGAGATGCTAGAAGAGTCTATGTTCAGCTTTGCAGTCACTGCCCTACACATGATATTTAGACTTTCAGCTTCACCATTCACCTTTCCCGACACCTGGCCTGGCCACTTGTGGCTGAGTGATTCTGAGGGTTCAACTTTCACTCTGCAGCCAGGCCACGACTATTGCACTGAGTGAAGTGCCATAATCAACACCGGCTCCACCTAGGGTGTCTTCATCTCGCCTGGCAAAGCGAGCAAACGTAGAGCAAATTAAAGGTTCTCACACTTCGGCGAGATGTTCGTCGGAACAAATGCAGCAGTATGAGAGATAAGGGAGTAAAGTCTATAGCTATGGGGCCCATGAATAGTTTATCACGTTTGAAGGTGTGAATCTTGCCTCTAACTTACCATCTGTTGCTTGAAGTAAAGGAAGAAGCTTTGGATAAGTGTGGCCTAAGGAAGGCTTTATCCCATCGGACACAGGTCTATGAGTTTGAACATGCTACAGGTAGCCTGTGGCATAAGCAAGTTATTCTCGTGCCCGAGCCCTGCCCAGCCCCAGCTTGGAGAAGGTCCCAAAAAGGCACAGCTTTGACTTGCGCCAAGTCCGAGCAAACATCAGCAAATCTATTTGTAACCATTGTAACTTGAGCCGTTTGGGCAAGGGGTCCAAAAGCAGCACCAAACACATGCCGCAGGCACAGCTTCTCGCCAGACTTCGCGATCAAATCTACTTGTGTGGCATCTTCAAGCTCCAGCTTTTGCCTCGGGGCTCGCCAGACTTGAAACTGGCAAAGACAGTGTCACAGTGGCCCAGCACATGGCGACGCATGGCGAAGCAACCACATCTTCACCAAAAAGACTTGGGAAAGGGATGGAACGGGCAGGTTTGTCGAAGGGGACAGATCTGGAGCATCTTCAGGACAAATCCCAAAACCCGAACGACAAGTCTTGGTTACACAAAAAAAAGCAAACACATGGTGGATATCTAGTTTTCCATGTATGATTGATTGATTGATTGCTTGGTGGGTTGGTTGGTTGGTTGGTTGGTTGGTTGGTTGATTGTGGACCGGTCTGTGACAAATGCTGAAGCAAAGCCAGTGCTCAGATTCAGTGCCGAGATTCTGCACCTCTTCGCGCAGATCCTTCACGGAGCGATCTGGCCGAGGGTCGCCTTGAGAGCACGCGGCGGAGCATTTTTGGCAGCGTGCACCAGCTGTAGCGATCAATTACTATATGTAGTATAGTAAAATTGGCAAGGTCCCGATGGTTTTTTGATCTTAATACCCCTCCAATTATCTCCAATTAGTAATTACTGTTCTAAGGAATGGATACAAACTACAGCACCCATGCACGACAGTGCAGTTCGTAAGTGCTACCTTGTTAGAAGCCAGTTGTCAAGGAATGCTCTGCCGAGATACAAAAACAAAGGATGTTTCCGCTCATCAGCCGGATATTAACCTCAGAGCTTGCACACGCTTCACAAGGTTTCTGGACATCTACTGTAACAAAGCAAGCATCCTAAAGAAGGGATAATTATGATCACCTCCATCTTCCAAAATAGGGAACAAACTCCAAAAAACATTAACAATCATAATCACAAGAAGCTCCAACATGGCTTGACTCGAAAGTTGACACCTCGAGTCGAGTTTGAACTGACTGGGAAGGCCGAGGGACTGGACGCAGCAAGCCCATCACGTTCTGATGGCCGCGCTTCTTGGCATCGTCCCACGGTGTAGCACCTAAGGCCAAGGGCAGCGGCAAGGTGGTGAATATATAAATGGGCTTTGGGTGGGAGTAAAGAGGTACACATGCACATTGCCGTACTCTTTGGCCGTGTCCCACGGCGTAGAACCTAAGGCCCAAGGTGGGGAATATATACATCGCTTTGGGCGGGAGTAAAGAGGCCTACACACCACGTATACTGCTATGTATGCTGTATCTCACAAATCCTGATGCGCAAAGAATTTCTGATGGGCTTGAAGCATCCAAAAAGATGCGCTTGGCAAAGGGGCACACATTTACAAGATCTTAAAAGTGCGTTTTGTCAAGAAGCCTCAAAACGACTTTCTAATCGTTCCATATCACTGCAGCGCCAAGTGCCAAACCCCAAGTGCCTTGAACCCCCTGGGCCACCCGGCCATCGTTGTTCTGGGCCTCCGGATCCGCCCGGGCCGCCAGGAGCCGCTCCACCACGTCGGAATGGCCGTTGCGGGCCGCCCAATGAAGAGGCCTCTCACCTCGGTCGGTGGGCTGTTAAGTGGATTCATTTGGGTTTGGTTCAGTGGCGTGGTGGGAGGGCAACCTTCTTTTGGGAGAAAGTTCTTCGAGTTGTTTCTTCTTTCAGTGGTATCTTGTTTGCAGCAATAAACACGACACACAAGCTTATTCGACATGGCCTGCATATGCATACTTTGAGTCTTAGCAACAAGAACAACAATATCAAATACCAAACACACAGGCGACAAAGAACTAGACCATGTGACAACTCTTGAAGGAAACAGTAGCTGGCAAATTGTTACGCCCACTAAAAGCCAAAGTGCTGAGACAAAAAAAAAAGTTAAGAATTTGGGAGGGGTTGTCAAGAGGTACATCTCAGCTGAACATGCCCTGTGCCCCTGCGAACACCTGGCACATAAACTCCGGTGGCCGCCACGTGCATGCGCCGTGTGCATCACACCTAATTTAGTTTGTCCAACTCAGAGGTGTCTCCTCAAAGGTGTCTGATTTAAGACAGGCATGTCCGTGTTCAAGTTGAACCCCAAATCTGCACCAATGCACCACGTGCAGCACACATAATAGATTAGTGTGTTCAGAAATGTCTCCTTGAAACTTCAACAATGATCCTTCAATGACATGAAATAACTAGACATTCATGAGACTCTGGTGATGCCTTGGTACAAGTCCACTGTAATGTGACCCAGTTCTTGGCGCCTCCTCAGAACCCCAAAACCACTTTCTAATCTTTCCATATCACTGCAGCGCCAAACCCGAAGTGCCTTGAACCCCATGGGCCACCCGGCCATCGCTGCTCTGGGCCTCCGGATCCGCCCGGGCCGAAAGGAGCCGCTCCACCGCGTCGGAATGGCCGTTGAGGGCCGCCAAATGAAGAGGACTCCCACCTCGGTCGGTGGGTTGTTAAGTGGATTCAGTTGGGTTTGGTTCAGTGGCCTGGTGGGAGGGCAACTTTCTTTTGGGAGAAGTTTCTTCAAGTTGCTTTTTTCTTTCAGTGGTGGATTCTTATTTGCAACAATAAACACGACA